TTTGACTAGACTTCAGACGTAAAAGGAAGTAAATTTTAAATATTTCTCGATTTCTTTACTTAGTTGTCGATGTTTCAAATTTTAATTATTTAAGCAAAACGACGATGAAGCAAAGTTTTAAATTGTTATCTCGTAGAAACAAAAATTTAAGTGAGGGGGGGGGGGGTAGCAGTACTATTCCGAAAAAGTTTTTAAGACCTTTTTTTTTCAGTCATTTTTTCATTCGATTTCTTCAAAATTATTTATTTGAAAAATTATTAGGAGGCAAAAAATTATCTGTTGTCTCCCCCCCCCCCCCGGTTGCTACAGGCCTGTTGATCCTTAAACTATGACAATTTCTGAAAACAAGATGATAATTAGGAAAACTAGATGATAACTAAGTAAAGAATTTATTTTTTACAAGCGAATTAAATAAGTAAATATTTAATTCGCTTGTAAAAAATAAAATATTATCAAAACATTCTTATAATTAAAATATAATCATAAGAATGTTTTGATAATACGATACAATTACTACCAGTAATTGTATCGTTTTATCAAAAAAAAAATTCTTCACTTAATTATCATATGTAGTAATTTACTACAATATACTGATAGTTAAAAGAGAGAGAGACTATACAAACTACATATACTATCTCCTTATTTCTAAGGAACATTTGCAAAAAATTGAGTTGACCGGAGCCTTGTGACAAATAAAGCCCTAAATCCTTTGTCAACCTCCTCTTTGCTCTTAAGGTGAAAGCAAGTTTATAAAATACCCCCCCCCCCCCCACTAATAATTTTTTAAAATTATTTATTTGAAAAAATATTAGTAAATATTCTAAATGTTATCAAGTTATCGATGATATTACTAAATGGTCATCATTATGGTTATGAAAGTTCAATTAAGAAAAATGTAAAATTATGCACATTGGCTTTAAAAATCCATGTATAACTTATTCAATAATCGACACTGAAACCCAACAGAATAATATCTTAGCAACATCAAATGTAGATAGAAATTTAGAAGTAATTTAATTTAAAATGGAAATGTCATATTGATAAAGCTGTATGAAAATCAAATCAAGTACTTGCTCTTATTAAACAAACTTTCAAATATTTTGATTCAAATATAATAATAATAATATTAAGGTATAACTGTAACAACTGTTTTAAACAGTTGCGAAGTGCAATAACATAAGATATTGCACTGTAACAGCTCATTTTGTCTTTTGTTTGTGTTTTAACAAACAGTTTCTGCAAAATCCAGCTCTGTCTAGTTTGTTTTTGAAGTTATTTATTGAAGTAGCTTCTATTATTTCGGATGGTAAGCTGTTCCACGCATTTACAACTCGATTTTGGAAAAAATGATACCTGAAGGTATTTCTGCTAAAAGGCTTCCTCATTTTGAATTTGTGTTGTCGCAGACATGGACCCTCCTCCAATGCATTTCCACAATCGTTAGCAACCCAATTTATTTTATCGTGACCATGCTGAATTTTATATTGTTGAATCAGATCTCCACGTAGTCTACGTTCTTCCAGTGACGTTAATTGCATAATATTCAACCTAGCCTCATATGATAATTTCCTAATTGTAATATGGTAAATCTATAAAAAAATAATATAAAAAATTATATTTTAAATATGGTAAATCAATTCTATTATAAAAACATTTATAGCTGTTACAGCACAACATCATCTGTTATTGTGCTCTACAATTGATTTGATCGATTGTCAGTGTATTACTATTACTATTTTATTATTATTACTATTATTATAACTATTATTATTGCTATTATTATTATTATTATTATTATTATTATTATTATATAAATTACCAGATAACTATGACGCCAAGCTGATCGGGCTTCGATTTTTGCATAGATAATCCTTAAGACATTAACGATTCGTTGATGTAAAAATTTAAACACAAAGGGCTTGGTATGGATATGGGCTAATTAATATCAAAGTTGGATATACTCCTTTAAAACTTGTCGATGAATGTAAATTTAGTAATAAATATTGTGTATGCAAGTTACTATATATATACATATGGAAATATTTAAAATATAAATGCAATATATAAAAAAAGTTAGGTTGGACAAAAAATCCTTAAATTTTTAGCAAGTTCCTGTCGTTAGAAATAAAAGTAATTTAGCAAAATATTTAGTAATAAAAAGCCTTTTAGTTAAGTGGCCTTTTTTTAATATTGATATTATTTGTAATTTTCTTGAAATATATAAAAGAAGAGAATGTAAATAAAAATAGAAAGTATTAATAAAACCTCCGTCTTTAAAAAAGTACAAACAAATATGTTTTTAGAAAACAAGAATATTCTCTGTTTTTTTTAAGAAAAAAAATTATTTTGATTTTTAAATGTTCAAAATAAGTAGTTGTATTTATTTGAATTACAATAAGCCAAAATGAGCTTTGCGAGTTTTTTTGCTTCCAAAAAGTTCGATAACTGCATCAAAGTATAATTTACTTGTAAGAAGCAATTTATAAAGTTAATCATTGAC